CACACACACACACACATGTGAACCACCTTAATAGAGTACAACTAAGTCATATCCATGTCATTACACAGCTTTGTGTCCCTGTAAACCACATATCACTGTACGCATAGACTTTATGGGGACTTCCAATAGACATACTTATTCTTTTCTGTACAAACACACACACACACACACACACACACACACACACACATATATATATATATATATATATATATATATATATATATATATATACCCAAATAAGCATTTTTACATATTCAGTACTTCATTCTTAGTGATTTATGAGACATTTTCCTTATGGGGACCAAAAACAAGAAATAAAAATGTCCCCACAAGGTGGGGGACCAAATAAAGAGTACAAGGCACACACACTTGTGCAGCCATTTCAATGGTAGACTCAGTAGACTCCTTCCCCCAACAATCCAAAACAATTTCCTTATGGGGACCAAATAATGTCCCCACAAGGTCAGAATTTAATGTTATTACTGTAATTCTGGGGACCAAATGAAGATTATAAGACCCCCCCACCAACCCCCAGAAAAAAACACACACACACACACACACACACACAGATCTGCATCAATAACACCTTCAATTAAAGTCAACAGAAACTCATTTGAGCTGGTATCGCATGCTCCTGATGCTCTTGTGAATCATTCAGAATGCAATAACCCGCTCCACTTTTCTGAACCACCTGTCTGCTGCAGGATGACATCACCAGCCGGTTTCCATCATCTTGTGTTAATGCACATTTTGAAGTATCAAAAAACTTTGATGCAACCTAAAATGATTTTAATTCAGCATGAAATCAAACTCAGCTCACTTTCTTAAAGACACAGTGCACCTAAAAATGAAATCCTCATCCGCAGGTCCTCCAAGATTGTGTTTTTTCAGCAGTAAAACATTTAACAAGGTCTTTTTTTATCTGAAAAATGGGGACTTTGGTGATTTTTATAATCCCTTTTCTTTTAGTAAAACAAAACCAACTAATTTAACCCCATGGTTCTTCATAGTATGTTAGGACAATATGCAAGAAACTAAACATAATTACTTGGTAACACTATTAATGTTAGTTCATATATTTACAAGCAATTAGTAATACATTTATTACAGTATTTATTCATCTTTGATAACGTTAGTTAATGTTATTCAAGTTAAATGACGTTAGTGCATAGTAACTCGCAGTGCATTAACTAATATTAACAAGTACACATGTGGATCTTAATAATGCATTAGTTACTGTTGAACTCTGATTAATAAATGCTTTGCAAGATTATTCATACTTAATGTTCGTAAATACCTGAACTAATGAATCACTATTCTAAAGTGTTGCCAGTTACTTAAATCCACAAGTTCAGCAAATGAGCATCTTTACAAAACAAATCTGATCCATGTGCATCTACTGCATGTGTATTGTGACGTAAAACCTTAGAATCTGTGAAGTCGATTGACAATTCCAAAAATGTTGATGAACAAATATTGATGAACAATACGACACACAGATTCATCTCACGCTATCCATGCCCTGCACACGTCATTATAATCAACAGGAGATTCACACTCTATGAGGCAAAACTCATTTGTCAATGTTGTGGATCGCAGGTAATAATATTTAACCTCAAATGACGTATCATCATGAGTCATGGGTATTAACTTTGTTGTATTTGTTTGTGTATTTAATATCTAAATTAACCACCAAGAACCTCCATTTCTGCTTTAAATCTGTTTAAATGGTCTATTGAAGAACGAAAAATGTTATAATCTGAGTCATTTAACAGCAAACGTTAAATTTTTTTCATCAATGCACAGTATTCATTCATTCATTCATTTTCTTTTCAGCTTAGTCTCTTTATTAATCTGGGGTCGCCACAGTGGAATGAACCGCCAACTTATCCAGCACATGTTTCAGGCAGCGGATGCCCTTCCAGCTCTGGGAAACATCCACATACGTTCATTCACACACATATTTAGCCTGTATCCAGTTCTCCTGTACCGCATGTCTTTGGACTGTGGGGGAAACCCACGCGAACGCAGGGAGAACATGCAAACTCCACACAGAAATGCCAACTGACCCAGCCAAGGCTCGAATCAGCGACCTTCTTGCAGTGAGCCGACAGCACTACCTACTACTCCACTGCGCAGTATTCTAATATAAAAGTACGTCTCTTTTTTTTTTGTATTGACCATTCATGTATTTTCATATCTTTCCCTCCTGTATCTTAACCATGTTGATAAACTCATCACGATCCTTTAATTTTAGATCAATAAAACTCGTCCTGCATCCTTTCTCTGTAGAATATTTAAATTCTTTTTCAAATATCTCCCAAGTGCAGTTTTTTTAAAACATTTTTTAACATAATAACTTTAATAACTAATTTATTTATTTATTTGCCATGATGAGTTTGCATAATAGTTTACTAGTTATTTTGCAAGACACAAGTATCAGCTTAAAATGCAGTTTAAAGGCTTACCTTAGTAAATTAGGTTAACTAGGCAAGTCATTGGAGAATGAAATAATTTCTTTAAGGGTGCTAATAATATTGACCTTAAAAAAAAATTAATAAATAAATCAATAAATTAGGCGACGCAGTGGCGCAGTAGGTAGTGCTGTCGCCTCATAGCAAGAAGGTCGCTGGTTTGAGCCTCGGCTGGCTCAGTTGACATTTCTGTGTGGAGTTTGCATGTTCTCCCTGCGTTCGCATGGGTTTCCTCCGGTTGCTCCGGTTTCCCCCACAGTCCAGACACATGCGGTACAGGTGAATTGGGTAGGCTAAATTGTCCGTAGTGTATGAGTGTGAATGAGTGTGTGTGGATGTTTCCCAGAGATGGGTTGCGGGCTTGCGGGCATCCGCTGCGTAAAAAACATGCTGGATAAGTTGGCGGTTCATTCCACTGTGGCGACCCCAGATTAATAAAAGGACTAAGCCGACAAGAAAATGAATGAATGAATCAATAAATTAATCAATCAATTCAGCAAAATTAACAGAAATAAGTTTTTAGAAGAAAAACTACTACAGCAAACACTGCTGAAAATTTCCTTGCTCTATTAAAAATTCATTTTCTTTTTTTGGCTTAGTCCATTTAGTACTTAAGGGTGGCCACAGCGGAATGAACCGCCAACTCAACCAGCAAATGTTTTACCCTTCTAGTCGCAACCCATCTATTAAACATCACTTGGGAAAAAAAAAATAATAAAATGTTTGAATAGTTTTGCCTTAGGCATCACGATGGCGCAGTGGGTAGCACAATCACCTCGCAGCACGAAGGTTGCTGGTTTGACCCCACGTTGGATTGGGTCTCCACTGGGTGCTCTGGTTTCCCCTACAGTCTAAACACATTTGCTACAGGGGAATTGGGTAAGCTAAATTGTCCATAGCATGTGTGTGTGTGTATGGATGTGGCCCAGTGATGGGAAGTGTGGTGAATCGTAAGTTGGTGGTTCATTCCGCTGTGTCGACCCCGGATTGATAAAGGGACTAAGCCCAAAACGAATGAATGAATGATTATTGCCTTAAACTGCATCAGACTATAGACGTAAAGTAGGGTCTCATTTACTGTTAAGTTTAATCAAAGTGGCGGTCCAGAAAGTTGCACGACTTCTCACCAATTTGACCTCGAAGAGGAATTCAGCGAATTCAGATCAGATTGAATGATGTTTCTCTTTGCATGCTTTGAGCAGTGGACACGAGTCCGGTGTTTATATGTAAAAGCAGAGGCTCCATTAATGAATCTGCTGTTCAGTCTCAGTCAGCAGGAGCCACTCTGAAGCGCTTTTGATAAGGACTCTGCTGGGATCTGGAGAAAGCTGACAGCCAAATTCCTTCATGTCTCAAGGTTACCGCTGCAAAACTGCATTAAACTCTACTGTAAGCACCATAACGCAACTGCTAAAGCATATGGGGATCCTTCCGGAAAGGATGGGATCCTTCTCTTTGATCGTATGCTCGCTTTTTTTTTTTTTTTCCTCTCTCAAGAGCTCCTTGTGAACACAATGCGGATGAAATTCAATCATGTGTAACAAAGGCGTCAGTCAAGGATTTAATTGAGATGAAAGCATGCTTTGAATCCTGCGGAAGGAAAAACCGGAGTGGCTTTCTGACACATCATGCACCACAAACGTCGCGTCACCGGGCTGACGTCACAGCACACTTTCTGGAGCCTCTGAGTCAGCAGGTTTGAGCTCAAACAAACAGGACCACAAACACGCAGGTACTTATTGGTTCTTTATTATGAAGTGAGAAAATGCCCGGTGTGGTTTTTTTTTCTTTTTCGCTTTTGTGCTTTACATTGTTCAAATGCTGGGGGGAAAAAACCCAGGGAAGAGAAGTCCAGAAATAAGTTCATTTGATTCTTTACACAGCTTGTAGAAATATTCAGTTCCAAAGGATTATTTACAAGGCGTCTTGCATTAAACAGTTTGTTCTCCTTGTCCGTGATATACAAAAACAGAGGTTCGACTAATACAAGGCCTGTCTACCTGAATTGCTAAGGTTTTGTGCTACTATTTACTTTGTTGTCGTCGTTTCAAAAAAGAAGTGCTTTTCAAAGATCGGTCTGCTGTCCGTGTTGCAGCAGCACGTGTGATCTCCTACAACAGCGTTTGCACAGTCGCAAATGATCCAGAGCCATCCTACTTTCTAAAAACTACGTTATTAAATAAGAGGCAGGCAGTGCATAACCACTTACAAAAGGACCCTACCCCCATCGCTCCCCCCACCCCATCCCGTGGAAGTATCCGCTAATACTACTCTGGCATTTCCCTGATATTTAACTTCTGAATGACTACTGATAGTATTGGATAAAATCGTGATTAAAAAGGCTATAGTTATTACTCGCTTTAGCTTTTAAAAATACCATGCATTATTGCTCTATTCTTCATCATGACTCCCCAGAAATATTGCCGACGGATGCTATCTAGGTTTTGGCAGAAATATCCAAAGCTTCATAAAATTGGCATAGATTCCATTAGTAGTAGTAGTAGTAGTAGTACTTTTTCTTTCTTTTTTTTTTTTTTTGCATGCAACAAATTTCTAATAATAAAGTGGCAACCAAAAAAATAAGATATTCAGAAAGTGGCAAATGCTTTGGCATATTGATGACGAAGGCTTGGCAACTGAAGGACAAATTAAAGTGCAAACTTACACAGTTTGTAGGAAACAAATAAACAAATAAATAGATAAATAAATAAGTCAATGAATAAATAGTTTTACCTCGATGCTGAACACTTTTGTGGCCACTGGCAGCAGTACAATATTATCCAATACTTAGAAAAGGTTTGACCTTTCGAGAGAAACACAGACATTTTCAATGTCCTCTGAGTTTTGGGGTGAATGAACAGCGAGTACAGAAAGAAGTTAAGGTACATGCGATTAATCCTCTGTGTTTTCTTCACACTTCCATGGGGCTCAGGGGAGCGAAGGCTCCCTTGAAGCAGGCCGACTCGTAGTGCTTGTTCAGGTAGGACTTCAGAGCGAAGGTCTTGTTGCATCTCTTGCACTTGTAGTGCTTAAAGGCCGAGTGTGTCTGCATGTGCGCCCGCAGGTTGGAGCGGTCAGCGAAGGCCTTCCCGCAGTGTGCGCACCCGAAGGGCTTCTCGCCAGTGTGCGAGCGCATGTGTCCCTGTAAAAGCCACGGCCTGCTGAAGGCCTTCCCGCATATGTCGCACTTGTGCTTGAGGTCGTGGGTCAACAGATGCATGGCCATGGCCGGCATGGAGACGTAAACCTTCCCGCAGGTCGGGCACTTCTTGGCCATTTTGCTGTCCAGGCTGCGGTGCGTCTGCTTGTGTCTGCTCAGGTTGGAAGACGTGGCGTAGGTCTTTCCGCACTCGTTACACGTGTGCCTCTGGAGGGTCCTAGGGCTGCTGATGGCTTTTCTCCGTGAGCGTCCATCCGTGATGAAGAAGGCGTCCACCGTGTACCCCTCGCTGACCGCCGTGTCTCCGTTGATGTAGCCTGACGAGATCTCCGACTGCGGGCTGTCCGGTTGATCCGAGTCCGGCGCTCCGTAATCGCTGTGGATGCTGTCGTAGATGGGTCCCGGAGAGGGCACTTTGATGCCGCTGTCGCTCTCTCCATCATACGGAGCCGGGGTCATGTAGTCACTGATGTAGGCTTGGGAAAAAAAAAACACAAAGCCACAGTTATTTATTAATTTCTGCAAGAAATCAACAGCTTTCTCCATTTCAATTAGTGCTTGGCTTTGGTATTGTGCAGGAATTAGGTCGAAATGACTCCCCAAAATAAGACGGCATGCATGAATATTCTATAAACGGCAGCTTATGCAAGCGCGCGCGGGTTATGTAGAGCGTGAATAATGACGTGAAACATGATCAAGCGTTGCGTTAATGCACAGCGCGCGTGGATAATTCCGATAACTCTCGGTGCGAACGTCAAGTACTTGTTGCTAGCGCTGCGTTTTTCTACAGCAAACGCGCCTTAAAGCGAGTCGAATGCGTGCTCGGAGGAGCGCAACACCTGAAATGTGCCGACTCGACAGAAACGCAGTGTGACCGCGGGTCAGCGCCGAGGTTACGATTAAAGCCATCAGGCGTCAATAAGCATGCACATGCCCTTGCGTTTAAAGCGGTGTGAAATAATTACCTTTCTCGTGAAAGCGCAGGCTGATGTCTGCCCTGGATCTGCCATAGGAGCTCTCAAGATCAGAGGATGAGAAATCATCAAGCTTCACCTTTTTGACCAGGAAAGACCTTGGCATGTTTTACGCTGAAGGAGAAAACACTCGTCCGCCGGTCGAATCGTTTCCTCATGCAAGTGCAACGCTGGAGAACAAAAACGTCTCTCTTATTTATTTATTTTTATTTGCTTCTTTTAGTGTCGTTCCTCTCCTCGGTAATGCCGAGATTCAGATGCCAGCGCAGGGTATCGGCAGACCCTGAATGCGTGTGTGTGTTGATGCAGCGCGACGCCGCGATGCTCTCGGCAGAAATGCAACTTCAGCACTGGACAGCTCCCGTTTGCGGCGGCGCGCGTTCAGCACTGGACAGCTTCGCTCCGCTGTGCGCGCGCGCTCTCTCTCTCTCTCCCCTCTCTCTCTTTCTTTAGTTCCTCCGAGACCCTCACCACGGTTTTATCTTCCAGGTACGGGCGTTAAGTTTAAACTAACTAGTCCTCTAGTTTCCGATCTGCTTCTGCACCCCTAAAGACACAGAAAGGACAGTGAAACCGCTGAGTGCACGTCGCTCGCTCGCTTTATCTCCCAGCTGTTCCGTCTGAAGGCGTCGGGCTTTCTGAAGTCTGTTGATCAGCTGTTGGGATTTATATGGCTGCGATCAGGTGGGAAATGAAGATGGAAGTACTTAATTTAATCCATAAAAAATCTCCCGGGACCAACATTGAACTGGATGGCTTAATGCCGTTGTTTGACGTCCACGCCTTCGCCGGAAATTTCACCAAAGCCCGAGACAAGAGCCACACAGGGGTTTATATATATATATATATATATATATATATATATATATATATATATATATATATATATATTCCGTGCATTTTTCATGTAATAATCAAATGTGTGTTCGTTTTTATTTATAAGACTATTTATTTTTTATATAAATAACAAACTAATTTAGATGATAACAAAGATGATTTTTGGATAAAAAGAAAAGTGTGCTTTGCTTGAGATTTGCAACATGTACATGTCGCTCTCGCCACGTTAAAAATCTGCCCTCCCGCGCCGCGCGTTCGCGCACCGCTTTTGACGCAAACCACTACATCAACTACTGGCAGTGGCCTCAGGCTTTCAGGTCATTCTTTTACATCACGGTCTATAAACCAATGGCTTTCTTTTCATGCAAATCACACGAATTGGGCACCAGAAGGTCCGTTTCCTCAATGATTCCAGTAGGAGCCATATGTCCGCAATTAACGCAGATCCTGAAGCTGTAGTACACACTGTTGTCTGACATCGTGTTCTCATTGTTCACTCCTTCAATGGGACGAATAAGGACGTCCCGCAGTAGGATTGTCGTTTTCCCAAACATTCAGACTCGGGGAGATGGCGTTCTCCTTGCTTTGGTGCCTGTTGAGACTAGAGTCATTATTTCTCGTGCGTTTTCTCATTTAATCCTTTCGGCAAGTTTGATGCTCTCTCTGTGTTCTCCGGTTTGATAGATGATCTTTAAAGTACATGTCTGGGAGAGAGAAAACATTCTGTCAAATAGAGAGTTAATTGCACGGTGCCATTTAGAATAAATGAATAAACTTGAATGCATATATATGCCAGAAGGCGATGAGAGTGGGCGAGTTTAATGTAACACTATACAGTCTTGTACCTTTGGTAATTTCCTAAACCTTTATTTTTAAAAATCCACTAAAGTGCACAGTGGTTAAGAAATGGAAAGAAAGATAATTTATACTGATATCATTTATACTGATATCATTTATACTGATATTTAACAAATCAATGTGATTACAATTCACTCGTTCTTAAAGAGATAGCCTTGGAAAAAATAAGCACATAAACAACCTGTGGTTATACACAAATAGTTATAAATATATATATATATATATATATATATTTACAATAATATGAATATATTATTATACAAATATTATTATAATAGACTTGTTTTTAAAGGACAAGCCTATTTAAAATTAAACAAATCAATAACCTGTAGTTGCAATTTTAAGAAAACATACAGAAACCATTACTTTTATAATACAATAATAATATTAACATATTTATATTAAAATACTAGAATCGTAAACAGAGTGTTATTAAAGGACTAGCCTATTAAAATGAACTATATATTAAATATATAAAAAATAAGCATTAAAAAGGAACAAAACTGCATGTTTTTATAATGACCACATATTATATTTAAATCAAAACTGGCATATTAATTAGAATAACACAAACATACACTGTAAAAATTATATGATCAATTAGTCCTGACAGCATATGTTTTTAGGTCATTGTAGCTTAATAAATTAAGTTAATCATGTTATAACTTTATCGTATAAGTTACGCAAGCTGTTTTAAGTCAGTTTAACATAGCATAAGTTCGAATGACTCATAAGGTTAATTTGATGTAGCTTAAAAAAATTAAGGCAACCAGAATTTTTTAGAGTGTAATTTTAAATAACAATTATAATATTAATGTTTACATAAAAATGTTAGAATTATAATAAACTTGACGTTAAAAGATTAATAAAGATTAACTAAAAAAATCAATGACTGCAGTCCCAATTTCAAATCAAAATGCAGTTATTGTTATTTGTATGGTACAATAATAATATTAAAATACCAAAGTATTCTAATTTTAACATAGCATATATATATATATATATATATATATATATATATATATATATATATATATATATATATATATATATATATATATATATATATATATATATATATATATATATATATATATATATATATATATATATATATATATATATATATATATATATATATATATATATATATATATATATATATATATATATATATATATATATATATATATATATATATATATATATATATATATATATATATATATATATATATATATATATATATATATATATATATATATATATATATATATATATATATATATATATATATATATATATATATATATATATATATATATATATATATATATATATATATATATATATATATATATATATATATATATATATATATATATATATATATATATATATATATATATATATATATATATATATATATATGTATATAGTTGAAGTCAGAATTATTAGCCCCCCTGAATTATTAGCCCTGTTTATTTTATTTTAT